AACCAATGATCTATAAAGTGGCAAAATTATAGACTTGTCCCTGCAATAGATACCCTTTATGATGCAGGACAAAACCCTGCTAGCTTTGTTTACAGCAGCCTGGCACTGCAAGCTACCTTTCAGTTTGTGGTCTACAATGACCCCCAAATCTTTCTCCATTTCTGACTTCCCTAGCGGCATACCCATATTTGTATAACCCTTTTGTTTATTTTTAATTCCAAAGTGCATTACTTTGAACTTATCGACATTAAGCCTCATTGTTGCCCACTCCCCTAATTTATCCAGGTCCTCCTGTAATGTTATAATGTCTAAGTCCGTGTCTATTACCCTCCCAATTTTGGTGTCATCCGCAAACACGGAAATATCGCTGTTAACACCCTCCCCGATGTCATTAATAAATAAGTTGAACAATATGGGACCCAGCACAGAACCCTGAGGCACACCGCTCATTACACTAGCCCAGTCTGAAAAGGTGCCATTTACAAGATACCCTCTGCACCCGTTCCCGTGGCCAGTTCTCTATCCACGTACACACCACCTCATCTATGCCCATAGCCCTCAGCTTGTGTAGCAAGCGCTTGTGTGGTACTGTATCAAATGCCTTTGCGAAATCCAGATATACCACATCTACCGGCTTACCTCTGTCCATATCTCTACTTAGTTAGCAAGTTAGTTAGGCAGGAACGATCTTTCCTGAACCCATGCTGATTGTCATTAACTATCCCGTTTTCCTGAACGGATTCTACCAGATAATCCTTTATTATGCCCTCTAGCAGTTTACAAACTACCGATGTTTTGTGAATAACTCTGTAAGTTTACTAATCTGTATAAGCAAACTAAAAGTGAGATTGTTGTCCATCATGCAAGTGAGCTTGGAGTGGTGGCTACTTTACAACACACAGGGACCGTGGGGAACAAAAGTAGCCACCCCTCCAGAAGGAAGCATGAATTCAGAGATGATTTGAGGATCTACTGCTGAGTGATGCACAAATAAGGTTCAGTATTGTTGTTGAATGTATTTTTAAGATTTAACTCCTGAATTTAGTGTCACTTTAATTTTAATTATCATGGTAAATATTTGCTTAGTTTGCTGCAAATGTATATTCAAATAATGCATTCATCCCAACTTTCTAAGATGGTAAAGGAGGACACTTTATGGCACAAACTATGTAGGTAAAAGACCCAACCCTGCCACAGCCCCAGTTACGCGGACCGCGGATAATTATTCAAAGTTAACACTCCAGCACAATCTTCTGTTGGATCTCTTGGAACTGTTATGGAGCTAAGTTCCTGGCAGGGGCGTAACTAGAAATCAAAGGGCCCCATAGCAAAATTTTGTATGGGGCCCCGTGATTTCTAGTTATACCCCTTGCAGAGCCCACTCGAGATCCCACCTGAGGGTGACCCTGCAGAGCCCACCATAGACTCTCTATGGTGGGCTCTGCAGGGTCACCCCCAGGTGGGCTGGTCGCACGCCTTACCTGTCCGCCTCCTCTTCCTCCACGGTCGCTGATGGGCCCCGCCTCCTCCTCCGTCGCCGGGCCCGCCTCCTTCATCACAGGGCCCCGCCTCCTCCCCTGCTGCCGACCACGGGCACCGCCTCCTCTTCTACTGCCATTGCTGGCTCTCATTGACTCTGTGGAGAGGAACGCGCTGCTGCACAGATTACTGTCAGTGATCTGAACAGCGGCGTGTTCGTCTTCAGCCGCCAGTGAAAGCCACCAGCAGAGGACCCCATAGCGACCCAGGCAGCCCGCACGGCATCTGGCCGGGCCCCACTGTGCTCCGGGCCCCATAGCGGCCGCCTGGGTCGCTATGGTGATTGTTACGCCACTGGTTCCTGGCTAAACATCCAGGGATATCGATCGACATTGTGGAAACAGAGTAACATGAACCCCCACCCACTGGATCCCATAACTTGGTTGTGTCTCAGCAGCAGCAAAAAGTTGAACCTATGCTGTTAAGATCTGGGGAAAGTATGTGAACTGCTTTCCTGACATGTCATGAGTTAAGAACAATTGTTGATACGTGTGCTGGAATTGGACTTCACATAGAAAATAGGGGCATTGCTGGGTTGGCCATACATGTGCAAATGTTTTGTTATGAATTATGGTAAATCTGCCTAACCATGAACATACACTTCCGGGATCTGCAGTTCTTATTTTGCGGACGTGTGTAAGCGACAGATGAAACTTAGCAAATTAGGTCACAAAGAGATTTTGAAAATGTCAGACTTTGTGCTGAAGCAAACACTTCTGTTGGTCAGATGTGCTTGTTATGGCACTCCTTCATGGCCTCTGTCATGCTTTACATTGCATACTTTATTTTAGACCATCATTGCGTATGAACAGCCTTAGACTTGCTGTGGTTCAGTGCAGCACGTCCTTTGCTCCTTCCCAACAGTGATTGATGAGGATCCTAGTGTAAACCCTGCCCCCTCAAATCCCAGACATTGTCTCCTGATTCAGGGTTTGGACTTGTCTATGGCCTGCTTAAAGTGTATGCAAAGCTAAAGCTTTTTTGTAGCTGAAGGAAATGAATGGTTTAAAGCTGAACTCTGATCACAGAAACTTTCATTTAATAGCTAGAAAGGATATAGATCTACTTTGTGTGCCCCAAATACCTTTACAAACCCACTTACTACCTTGTAAAAGTAGTAGTGACATCATCTCTGTGCAGAGAGCAGAGCTGTGGGAGGGGCCCAACAGGTACCATCCACTACAGTCTGCCTGCAGAAAACTACAGGAGGGTGGATACAAGACCAGTCACCCTACACAGACAGAGGGCAGGAGTGACTGGTCTTTATTGTAGGATGCTCTTGCAATAAAGCACACCAAGATTCAAGTAAGAATACACATACCTTTTGTATTTAGACCATATTTTCCTATCCTGGAGTTCTGCTTTAAACTCATTTCAGATTATTTTATGCTGTCTGTGTCCTACTGGAAAGATTTCCCCTAATGTCTTTTCTTGGAGACACAAAAGGAATCGAGAGGAAATCTCCCCATAGTGAGAGGAATAACTATCTTAAACAGTTGTCACGAGAACATTTGCACCTTCTGTAAGTTTTCCCCTCGCATATGGCTGTTACTCTAAAATGTAGAATTTCCTCTTACTTTCTGTCTCAGTGACAGTGACCACTAGGACAAATTGAGGGGTAAATCTTCTCCTTGTACCCCATTGCTCTTCCTGATAATGTAGAGATAAGCCTGACAGCACTATTCAGGCTTGTAGGTAGGTAAGTGTATGTGGGTTGGAAAAAAAAAGTGTATTCATTTGCTAACAAAAGCCAGTCCTCAAGAGTGGGGAAACATTAACAATTTATTCTTCAGATAGAAGTTAAAATAAAACGATACAATTATATTTGATTATACATTTCCACTTACTGTTGTAAGGGGAAATTGAATCAATTGATTGAATCAATGTTTTCTTCTTCTAATGCATATTTTCTAATGAGCAAATAAATATCTTTCAGGAATGGTTTACCGTCCTTGAGAATTATCGCCAACTTAACTGCACTATTTCTGACTTGATCATCGGAAATTCCTACTTCTTCAGGGTATTTGCTGAAAACCTGTGTGGACTTAGTGAGAAAGCTGCTACAACTAAAGATGCTGCTTTAGTAAAGAAACAAGGTAATTCACAGTACATTTGTTTTCCTGCCACTGATTGATTGTGGCTTTGGGTACAAAAAAACAAGTAAATAAAGTACAAGCACAAGCTTTTCTCTGACCCCTAACGTATCTTTAAAACATAAAGTAGTATTAAACCCTAATTAAAGTAAATAAATACATAATATTAATAAATAAATAGTGATGTAGACCCCAGCAGTCACCTTGTTTGCATGTCTGTATTATTTCTTGCTGTGGCTACTTTCAAATCCCGCAGTGAAAATTCCTCCCTCTCAGTTTCCTGTCTTGTGGTGGCTCTGTCCCCTTTACAGGGACTCATGGAGCCACCGATGTGTGCGTGTTCTTGCCTGTATACCTGGACGAATCTCCTTACGCTCATTAAAGCTTGTGGCCCCTGAAGGCAAACCACTCCCATGCTCCTCCCTCCAGCTGCTGATTGACAGCAACTGGAGCCTGTACTGTCCCTGCTGTACTGTGCATGTGACGGGCACAGGGAAAGCACTCCACTACCCGGAAATTTGGGGGAACCGGCCCTGTGGACCTGTAGCTGGTGGCAGTAAGCAGGGTGGGTAATTAAATGCTTGACCATAGATATAAGGAAAAAAGAGCCTGGGTAATGTTGCACTGCTTCAGTGGCGTCACAAGAGGTATTTGTGGGGTGCGGCCCGCACCCGGGTGACACCATTGGAGTGGTGACACCAAGATGACTGACAGTCATTTTGGTTACACCCCCTCTAAAAAGTCGGGCACTTGGTCATGGACCGAGAGCCCGACAGTGTCAGGAAAGAGGAGGGGACCCGGCAGCATAACTAATCCCAGTCGGGTGAACGTCCCCTCCTCTCTCTGCCGGCATCCATCAGCAAGATGTCCGCCGGCATGTGTCAATTAGATGGCCGTGCATGCGCAATGACGTCAGGACGGGGTGTGACCCGGTCTCCGCTCCAGGTGGCACCCGGCCTCGGGATGCCCCTGCACTGCTTGACATTATCCAGTACATTTAAAAAAGGCAGAGGGTTTAATACCACTTTAAAGCTGAATTGCAGGCAAACCGCTAAGCACATAGATAAAATACATACAGTATGTCTCCATTCACACCTAGGCATCAGCGTTTTCGCACATATAGCACAAATTTTGTTTTGCACGTTTTGAAGTGTACCATCTAATGCAGGAGTGCCCATTTGGTAGATGGTGATCTACCAGTAGCTCTCAAAGCTGATGCTGGTAGATCACGAAGGGTGTGAATGGTGACCCCTTTATTCCATTTTGGTATATTTATTTAGCTGTGCACACATGATTACCTATTAGCCTGAGTCTGCTGAGCCAAGCTCCCTGACACCTTTCTGGTGGATACTGGTGGTTGAAGTGTTATGTATTACATCAAAGAATATTAGTTTACGCAGCCTGTTGCACTGCACTGTTTGCAAAATACAGCGAGGTGAGCCAGGTGAGAGAGGGGAGAGAGACAGTCAGGGGAAAGAGCAAGGAGAGACAGCCAAGAGAGTGAAGAGAGACAGTCAGGAGAGAGAGCGAGGAGAGTCAGCCAGGAGTGAGAGCAAGGAGAGACAGCCATGAGAGAGAACAAGGAGAGACAGCCAGGAGAGAGAACAAGGAGAGACAGCCAGGAGAGAGAACAAGGAGAGACAGCCAGGAGAGAGAACAAGGAGAGACAGCCAGGAGAGAGAACAAGGAGAGACAG